TTAGTGGCATAGATCCACTGTCTCTTTTGGGTATTTGATTTATGATTTATAATGTGTTATATTGCCAATATTAGGGCTTTTTTATTTTTTGTCAATTATATGAATATATAAATGTAATCATGCCTTTCAAACTGTTTCTATTTTTGGTACAATTTGGATGATTGTAATTTTAATATTTGGTTTACTTTGGATTGGTTAAAATGGCATGATTATAAGGACAAATAACTGGCTTGTGTTGAAAATTGACTAAATTGCTTATTTTACTTGTTGAGAGTATAAGGATAGATAAATGTGATTTAGTTTACTTGTTGGGAGTATAAAGATGGACAAATGTGATTTAGTTTAATGACATGTGGGAGGTAAAAATTTATCTAAAATGTTATATTGTGTGAGTTGAAGCCAATTATAAAATATTTTATATTGAAATTATTGATATAAAAATGTGTTGGGTGGCTGTAACCCAACTATGGTTAAGTTAAATTATTTTAAAAAAAAAATTTGGTGTGTTACACAAAATGCTATCATGATTTGGCATGTGCGCAACAGCATAAATTACATATGCCACGGCATATGGTACAGTAGTGAAATTGTGACGTATGGATCACATGCCATAGCACATGGAACACATGCTGCAGTATATGTACTAGAATGTACAAAAATAACATTTTTAGCCTTATTTTTAAGTGTTTCGCTTCCCAAACTTTTTCATGCTTCTCATATATTTAAAAATCATTAAGTTTAAGCTCAAACTACTTTTTTAGAGGGTTTTCTTAGGATCTTATATATTCTAAATTATATTTAAATACTTATTAGATTTAACCCTTGTGTGTTTGAGATGAGCTTATGAGTTGTCTAAAGCTCTTAATCACTATTTTTTATTGCGATTGTGTGATGAATATCAGTAATATCAAGATGAACATCACACTCATCCTCAATACTTCACTTCAAAGTTGTCTTATCCTCCATCCTCATAACAATCGTGCACTCTATAATCCATATCCTTATCTTCACTATGCCTCACCGTTATCGTTGTCACCCACCATCATTTATTGTCCTTAAATTAAAGGTGATGAGTATTTCTCCCATAACTTCGGAGACTAAAGCCTCGCTCAAAGGCATTATTGATCTAGTGAGTACCTAGAAAATAGGATTCTTGGTTGGTCTGTTCCAAGTTGAAGGAGGCATGTGATGGCAATCCAATTTAAATGCTTGATACTATACTCTCCTATTAAGCCCCTCGAAGCTTTTGTAAAGTACATTGCTAGACTTTCCATATTGGTTCCATAGGAGATCGCGACTGTTGCCTTACTCTCTTTCTCTTTATATGTAATAACTTTCACTTTTTGCTACACTCTTACTCTATTTCAAGAATCCAAAAAAGCCCTTTTCGCCACTAGTAATGTGAGCTTAAGCTTAAGCTCTCTTGTTTCTCACAAAAATGACAGGAACCAAATTCTCTAAGCAGAAAACCATCATAAGCAAGTTGGGTCATCAACAAAAGAGATGACACATATCATTCGTAGGGCTCCATCAATTTTTGCAGCTTATATGCCAATGACAATCATGCTAGGTACTACCTCCTTATCAAGCACCTTTATCCTTATAATGCTATTGATCATCCCTCATTCAGGTTCATACATGATTGTGTATCATAGTTCTTCAAACCAAATCTATGGCTAAAAAGTGCCTTTTTAATGTTCGCCCTCTTTCTTTTTAGAGTTTACCTCAGGATTGTTCACCCTCCCTCTTCTCAGAGTTTACATGGAGAAGAGGAAAGGTGAATAATGGCTAGAGCAATATGTGTATGAGTAAGGAGAGGGAGAGAAGTGAGCTAGGGAGAGCGAGAAGTAACATGGAGAAAGAGAGAGAGATGGGTAAAAAAAATAATAGGTGGGACTTATTAACATTAGAAGAGGGGGATTTAACATCAGATGCCAGAGATTTGAATTTTGAAAGTTGAGAGACGAAATTGACCTGTGATTGAATTTAGAGCATTTATCCATCTTTCGAATAAAGTTGAAGAATGAAAATGACCATTAAGATTTAAAAAAAATTGCAACAATTTAAACAATGTGTCGAAACATGTGTTTTGACCAACCCTTCCCACCACTTTTCTCTCTTTATGTCTCTCTTTATGTAGTATAATTACATGGTAAATGTAAAACACAAATCTAGGAACACTCTAGCATTTACTATAGTTTCTTAAGCCATAAATTTGGCACTTGTAATGATTTAATAGGATAAAAATAAAATAAAATAATTACAAATAGGTCTCAAAGAATAAACTTATTTACAAACAAATTCTATGAATTCATGAAACTACTATACAAATGTTAGGAACTTCAGTGTGAATAAACTCACATGCAAAATGTCCAAAATACCTTTCATCCACTCTATTTGACCAAGCATTGATTAGGTGTAAATTGATAAGCGGTGATGGTTTATCAAAAACGAGATTTATATTAATGACTTATTAGGACTACTGTTAGCAATGGCAATCCAACAACCAGCTCTCATCCAGTCAAATCTTGCTCACGAAGGTGGGGTGAGTGTTTTAGACATTTCACATGAGAATTTATTTACACTTAAATTCTAAGATATCTCACATTAGTTTTGTAAATTTGCAGGATTTACTTACAAGTAAGTTGTCTTCGATAATTTGTTTATAATTTTTATTACATAAAATTGCATGCAGTCCGAATCTTTTCAAGATTAATTATTTCTTTCTTGAATAGAAGGCTTCAATATAGATTTTTTTTTTGCCAACCCTAAATATAGAAAATTAACTGTTAAGATTTACTATTATTCAAGGTAAAAATTCAAAATCCTTAAATTTATTGGGCCCCAGCCTAATTGTCCATCCTCAGATATTTTTCATTTTTTTTGTAAAAAATTATAATGAAAGACTCGAAAAAAAAATAATATTTATTGGAGAGAATCTTAAAAATAATTATTATTTAGACTGACTAAATATCAAAACATAATTGCAAGAACATTACACTGCCTCTAATTATATTTCTTATATTTTTTCTAATAATATCCTGCCCTTTGTATTTAACAGTTACTAACAAAAACTCAATATTTGAGATAAAGCTGTTTTTTGTACAACAAGGAGAAGAAAAACAAGAAATTAAAACAAAGCTGACATTTTAAGAATTCTAGCAAGTTAATAATCTCATCTATCTTAAAAGTTCACGAGTGATAAATTTAAGATAAAAGCAAAAGCACGTTGAGATAAAAGGATATAAGAAGAACTGATTTCAAGAACCAAAGAAGGAACTACAAGATAAATGATGTTCTCCAAAAGTTGATTGGCCTTGTGGCTCTAAGAGGCAAAGTAATATGAGTTTAATTTGGATGCTCAGTATTTATTATGTGATGAGATTTGAATTCTTTAGATTTTAATTTGGACGATTCAGATTTAACTCATTATTATATATTATATTTTTTTAAATAAAAACTTATAAAAATTATAAAATAATTTTAATAATTTTTTATTTTTAATATAGTCTAAATTTAATTTAAAAGATCTAATTTAATATTAAAATTTTTATAATTATTATAAGAAAAAAAAATATCAACTAATGACTGAGTTGTTTATCACGATCACGTGTTTAAATAGAGGAATACTTGTGCCAGTTGGCTTCTCACTAGCCACATGACATGGATGAATTTGCAAAGTTGAACGCCCCTTCTCCCAAGTGTAGTGACATGTTAAATAAACGATGCTAGTATTAGCCTACTTTCACTTCTATCAAGCTCCCTCCCTCCTTCCCCCCCCCCCCCCCAAAAAAATGTTAGGCTAAGGTCAATTTAATTCCTTAACTTATTTTCTAACTTCATTTTTTTTATTTTCTATCAATTAAAATACTTTTTTTCATTCTCATGCATAGAAAATACTCTCCCTCTAAATTATAAGAGAATTTAAAAAAAATTATTATTTCAAAATATAAGATAATCTAAAAAATTAAAATTTTATTAATTATAGTTTTCTAATATTACCTTCAAATAAAGAAAAAAATTGAAATAATACTATAATATAGTAATTAAATATAAAAATATATTTTTAAAATTTTAAAATTTTGTTTTAAAAAAATAAATATGTGAAATATTATTATTGCATTTAAGCTATATTATTTTTAAAAATTAAGAAAAGGAAAAAATTTTGTGAATATAAATCATATTAAACATGATTTATTTAACTGTATTAATTTATATATTTTGTACAAATATCATAAATTAATATTTTAATATATTTAGAATGAATCATGAAAAAAATATTAAATTGAAACTTATTATTTAAGTATATTTGTTAAAAAATTTATAAAAATAAATAAAATAAATAAAAAATAAATTGATGGGTTAACTCATTTAGCTTGCTAATTTTCAAGAGTTAAGTTGAAATTTTTTTAACTTGTATAAAAATAAATTAAATTTAATTTAACTTATATTTCTATCCATTTATATGGAGCAACTTATATGAACTGGTCCCTTTTTTCACCTCTATTTCAAGCCAAACAGGCTTTTGTCCCCTTATCCCCAAGTTTATTGCAATTTTCAGATGGGTCTCCTGGCATGCGCGTCAGTACACCTGGGTGTTTTTTTTTTTAAGTCAGTTAAATTATTAGGTCGGCTGTAAGCAAATTTCCTATATTGCCATGGCCTTGCAACGACCTCGATCCATGACAACGGAAGTCAAACGGACAGCTCATACATGGAAGATACATAAAGGGCGTTTACGTCCTTTCGCCCTTGCAACCTTCCAGGCAGTGGAAAGAGCACGGCATCACGCGTCAACTGGAAAACTTTCACGTGTCGGTCAACTTCGCGTGAACCGCACGCTCTTCGGATTCAGAATCCAATCTATGGAGGGTAGAAGTCCACGTGTCCGTTACCCTAACAACCTTACCGGTAGCCACTTGTCCGTTGTTCGCCCAAGCTCCGACCCCACATAAAAGCGGTTCAACTCCGACTCTTGACCAGTCTTTTGATCCCTTCGACCCCAGTTTGATCAGAAAAGTGCGATAAAAAATCCCCTGCAAATCCTGAGAAGGAGCATCCTTCCTCTAAGATCATTCAGATAATAATAATCTTTGCTACCCTCAATTCAATTGGTCGATTTTGGTTTGTCGTCATTTCTCGAGAGAAGGAAGGCTATAGCTATGGTGGCCGAAGCAGACCTTACGTGTCAACGGAGCAACCCTGTGTTGGATGTTCAGTATTTGCCTAACGGGGCAAATATACGTGAGATCGAAGATGCCGCCGCCATCACGCCTCCGAGTTTTGACAGAGTTCGTGCTTCTCCATTAGTGTCTGCCGAGTTACTCAGCCCACAAGAAGTAAGATTGCCAACACCCATGATTTCCTTGTTCTTGTTTCTTCTTGGTTTTTCCTTTTCGATGATACCGAGGGTCATGGAAGCCTATCCAAAATAGTTTGTTTGATTACGTGAATTTGTTTGGTTTCTCAGATCGAGGTAGGCTGTAGAGTTTATTTCTTCATGCGTCATGCGAACTCTTTAGTTAGGTTTCAGGTATCAGCTCATCTATTGAGCGTATCCTCGTGAAGATGTTTAATTGCTATGATGCTTGTTTAGATTTGTCCCAGATTACTGTAGGAATGGCAACTCTCACATTTGGTGTTTATGTAGCTTGATTAACGGAGGAACCGATAGTCGATTCTACTGCATATTTATGTAAACATTAAGCATGAGCGGCAATTGTTGAATATCGGTACCTTTGAAACTACTCGATGAGATGTGTAGGTTGATATTACTTTGAAGGTGTAACATAGTTCCAGTTCGCTACCATGGGTTTTCCCCGCGGTCGTGGAGGTAGATTTTAGAGTGGTCATGATCCGCACCAAGAAGAAGAAGGACATTAATTATCAGTTCTATGCAGGAACGGGTTCTTTGAATAGTTGCAAATATTCATAATTTTGCCTTAGTTTGGGCTTATTGTGCATGCCTTTCCAAACTTGAAATCTTTGAATTGGGATTCTTAATGATCACTATGGGTAAATTAGTTTTCTCTACAAGCCATGCTGAGATTTAAGAGTGAAAGGAGGACGGCTATACTTAATTACGAAATGTTTATATCAATAATGAAATGCATCAAACTCCTTTCATGAGAATAGATACAAGGTTTGCAGAGCATCATTAGTCTTATGAGATCATAAATGCAAAATTTTGCATCAATACCTTCAATATTCTGTGTCACACTTATTTCATCTGTATTTAACTTTTATTTTGTAGGATATTAAAGCTGCTGACAGAATATCAAATGATGCTCTTGATTCTGCTGTTCTTCAATTTGTCCCTAGCATCCGCTCCGGCAGTTTTGCCAACATTGGCCCCCGGAGATACATGGAAGATGAACATATAAAGATAGATGATCTATCTTCTCACATGGGATCACTATATACATTTCCTGAACCAAGTGCCTTCTACGGGGTATGTATCTTTTTAACCTTTAGCTTCCACGATGTTTTGATTTTTGCATGATAGTGTTGTCAATTTAATCTAGGCTTACTTGATAACTCAGGTGTTTGATGGTCATGGAGGACCTGAAGCTGCAGCTTATATCCAGAAAAATGTTATGAGATTCTTCTTTGAAGATGTTAGCTTCCCCCAGACATCTGAAGTAGATAATGTTTTTTTAAAAGAGGCGGAGAACTCCCTCAGAAAATCATTTCTATTGGCTGACTTAGCTTTGGCTGATGATTGCAGTGTGAGCAACTCATCAGGGACCACGGCTCTTATTGCCTTGATATTTGGAAGGTATATTAATGCAGTACGTAGTAAGTTCCCCTTTCTATTTGTAAATTGCGTTTGTTTCCTCTTTGGTATGTTTTTTTTCCCTTTGTTGTTTTTCTTTTGGGTTTACATTAGGAGGGTTTAAACTTTAGGCATTACTCAGTATTCCACTCTACTCGGACTATTTGTGCTAGCCCCAAATAGCTTGATCTAATTATCTATTTTACTTGATCTAATGTTGCATTTTTTTTATTTCTTCCTCCCCTAATTTATAAAACCCAGCTTTTCAGGCAAGATGTTTTAAGATCTATGGTCCTTTACCTGCTGCTGATTTCTGTTGTACTTCTTGTTTGCAGGCGTCTAATGGTGGCCAATGCTGGTGATTGCCGAGCAGTTCTCTGTCGTAAAGGAGAGGCAATTGACATGTCTCAAGATCACAGGCCTGTTTATCCTTCAGAGCGGAGGCGAGTTGAGGAATTAGGTGGTCACGTAGATGATGGTTATCTTAACGGGGTTTTGTCAGTTTCTCGAGCCCTTGGGGACTGGGATATGAAGTTTCCACGTGGTTCTCCCTCACCTTTGATTGCAGAGCCTGAGTTTCGTCAAGTGGTTATAACAGAGGATGATGAGTTCCTTATCATAGGTTGTGATGGAATTTGGGATGTTATGACAAGTCAGCAGGCAGTTAGCCTTGTCCGTAGAAGCCTGAGGCGGCATTATGACCCAGAGCGATGTGCCAGGGATCTGGTCATGGAGGCACTACGCCTTAACACGTTTGATAATCTTACAGTGATTGTTGTGTGCTTTTCTTCTAATTCTATTGATCACAGCGAGCCATCCCCTTCTCATCAGAGGAAATTGAGGTGCTGTAGCCTTTCTGCAGAGGCGCTTTGTAGCTTGAGGAACTTTTTGGAAGGCAATGCAAGCAATTGAACGCGTAATACGGTTTAATCTAATAATTTTTTTTTTTTTTGGGTAGAATATTTACACTGTTTTTGGCTGCTTCAGTTATGACAGGAGAAAAAGCAGCCTTCGATTTTGTGGTTGGTTAGTTGATGTATGTAGCCCTATGGATGATATTGATGAAGATACATGTATCCTGGATTATGTTGTAATAATGGATGATTCGTGATGACAGTCATATTCATAGCATCATTCTTGTGTATAGTTATATATTCATGAATAAAAGATTGTTAAGAATATTCTCTTCATCCATGTGCTGTCAGGCGAATCCAGGCTCTTGTGCGTGAGGCTTGTACAAAGAATGAGTTATACTTTAGACGAAAATGTTGAGGAATGCCAAAGAACGAAGTTATTCTGGTTGGGAGGGACTCCAGCATTTAGCAAGCAGCTGCCTTTGCATGGGTATTTTCCACGTACCTTCTCACTTGTCGACCCCATTGTAATCATTTCTTGGAACGTAATTAAACCCTTGTGAAACTAGACAGAAGAGGGAGGAATCAGGAAAAGAAATAGGGAGGGTGGTGGTGGTAAGCAAAAACTGGGGGAGCGAGCAAGCAGGCTTTGGAATTTTCAAGCGCATAAATCACAGCGTCCACTTTTCCGCATTTTATTCCCCTTTCTCCGCCCTACTGACAGTACATTCCCTTGGGTGACGTGACTACTTCACTTAGGCTTTTGCCGTCCTTTATTTCTGATATTAACATTCTGGTCATGTTATTACAGTATGGTGGTTAATTTGGCAGCTAAACATAGCCTTCTTTCGTTTTCATCATTTTTCTCAGTGCAGGAGGATTCCATTTTACACCCCTGCGCTGGCAACCCAAGGCCGATCGAAGATTCTTATCAAACATCATCTTCCCATTTCTAATGCAGACCTAAGCTGTCGCACCCCTCAATTAATAAGCAGATAAGCACCGTTGGATCAAGCTCCAGCATGGGGCCCACGCCCATTTATGCGCCAGAAAGCCCTGCGGACCCGTTCTTATTTTCCTTAAGAATTCAGGGAAGTCAACCGCAATTAATTAAGCTTCCATGACTATACTCTTAAAAAAGTTAAAAACGTGCCTGGTGGTGGAGTAGGGCACAGGTAACGTCTAAATTTGATTTGCGTTGCTTCCGCAAGTCGAAAATGCTTGACCGTAATGCAACTCGTAACTGTAATGAAAACTCGATGGAAAGATTTTTTAGAACTTTATTTTCGAAGGCTATGGACTTAATAATCAGAGAAGTGAACAGCCGTCACTGTACAAAGGCCTTAATGAACTGAATATGCCGCTGACCTAGTTTAATTTTTGATGTTCATATATCACATGCATGTGTAATTTGTGTTTAAACAATATGATTATTAGATGTGCTAGACACATGAAGTCTCAAATATGATATGAGGATCCCTGAATTCTCTTATTTCAATTTACTTAAATGTGAAGATGCAAAAATGATGATGTAAATATGATCTGGTCATTAGAATTGAAATATGAAGATGCAATGATTGCATCAATGGAATTGAAATAACAAAATTTAAACCTAAGTTCAGAATACAAAGTAAATTTGAGTCAAAAACTAAACAATGAGTGTATCCTTATTTCATCAGTTACCTAAAGTTTAAAATACTTAGGTGCTTGAGACCGTTGTGTCTGAAGAATCAAGAGCTTGTATACGAAATGTCCACTGTTACTAAATATGGTTTAATCCACTGTTACTAAATATGGTTTAATGAGATTTGGGGTTATTGGATAACAATCCCACATTATTTTAACAGTCTTTTATGCTCAATTGCTCCAAATTTCAAGAGTTATGCTTCTTATCTTAGCACGTGTTCAATAGGAAACCTTATTTAAAAGTGAATCAAACCTTGTTTTTAATTGATTATTGGGTCTGACACTTTTGATTCCTTTCTTTTTTCTGTTATTCTAGGCTTTTGTTAATTGATGCCTATTTTAGGTCCAAACAGTAATAAATTTTTACAGCCATATATCACGCCATACCAAAAATAATAAAATTTAAGAGTCTTGGCTCGCAATCACAGTTAGTCTAACAAGGATTATACATTACCAACTGTTAAATGAATATAAAATTTGACTAATTTCCATGGTAGAATTCCTTGCCCGACGACCAGTCAATGGTCCTTTTTAAATTTGGGGACACGAGGCAATATAAACGTCACACCCATGAGCTTTTACCTGCAGGTTTTGAGGAGTCCGTGTACGAACTATGAATCAAGGAAGCAGCTCACTGCAGATGCCGAAGCAAAGGTAAAGGGTTTTCATAGATCCGCCACCACGTAGCCAATATTTCACTGATTATATCCAATGATCTCTTCTCCTTCTATGAACTGGTATAGGTTGGAGGGGAAGGTGGCTCTCGTCACCGGAGCTGCCAGTGGAATCGGGGAAGAGACTGTGCGACTGTTCGCTGATAACGGTGCCTTCGTTGTAGCAGCAGACCTTCAAGACGAACTGGGTCTTCAAGTCACGGCTTCCATAGGCTCCAAGAGAGTGAGTTACCATCACTGCGATGTCAGAGATGAACAGCAGGTCGAGGAAACAGTAAATTACGCCCTGCAAAAATATGGCAGCCTAGATATCCTGTTCAGCAACGCCGGAGTACTTGGCTCACTATCCGGCATCCTCGATCTTGATCTGAATGAGTTCGACAGCACCATAGCCACAAATGTTCGTGGCGTGGCCGCAACGATCAAACATGCTGCTCGTACTATGGTCGCGAGGAACATCCGCGGATCTATCATTTGCACCGCCAGCGTGGCGGCTTGTGTCGGAGGAACGGGGCCTCAAGCTTACACCGTATCGAAGCATGCTCTTGTCGGACTGGTACGATCCGCGTGTAGCGAGCTTGGGGCTTATGGGATTAGAGTGAACTGTGTGTCCCCTTTTGGAGTTGCCACGCCTCTTGCATGTTCGACCTTCAATCTTGAACCTCATCAAGTTGAAGCTAATAGCTCTTCCAAGGCTAATCTCAAGGGGATCGTGTTAAAGGCGAGGCATGTTGCAGAAGCAGCTTTGTTTCTTGCTTCTGATGATTCTGTTTACGTCAGTGGACACAACTTGGTGGTTGACGGTGGCTTCTCCGTGGTTAAAAATAGTTTTTCTCCCATCTAATTTTTTCTATGCCTTCTCAAGAAGGCAATAATATACCATCAATCAGATGACTTCTTTCTATTCTCTTTCAAGTTGGGACCAAATTACCTAATTTTTTGCGTCTCAATAGTCACTGCTGCCACTTCCCATGTGCATTTCCTCCTGAATATTAATGAATTACGTGTTGTCTCTCCTTTTCTATTTCTCTCATCATAAATTCAACCATCTTTGTTTTCTATTACTCGATTTATATATATAGAGTATGTTCTCGGATAGTTGCAGTTGCTTCCTTCATGTTCGGTTTCGGTTCTTTATTCTTACTGGGTCTAATTTGCTCCCTTCTTGAATTAATGTAGTCAGTATCGATCAGCTGCTATTGGTGATAATTAGGTGAGTCTCTCTAGCAAGTTAAAATTGTCATTTTTACCTCAACGAAGTTGACCACTGAGAATCATGAGTTGATAGTGTTGAAAATGTTTGCTCAAAAAAAAAAAAAAGATAGTGTTGAAAATGAAATCAAGTGGCTCGAATATTCATATATAGCTCAGAAGGGAAGGATTATCACATCAGATTTTTCAGTTTCACTCTTATGCGCGAGCCAGACCAGAAGGAGACCATAGTCATGTGGTTCGAGGTTATTTAATTGCAAAAACATTGGGAATGCAAATAATATACATGCTCCGAGGGAGACCAATCATATATAGTTAATATGGCCGGTCTAAAATCCATGTGCCTCGTTCATTCTGCCCCACAATCTTCACATTCTCAACGCCGTAATTATCCTGAATTTCCCTCAGTTTGAAATATAAATCCTCAGGACGATTCTCATGCAATCGAATTCGAAACAGAAGGTCAATATTTGGCACTGTGGAAAAAGAACAATAACTTACGCTTCCTTCATACGTACTTAAAAATTAATGACCAACCTGTGCTGCTGGATCTAACGGTGATCATTGCAGACTCTTACCCATATATGTATATTATATTATTATTGATCATCCGTCGCCCGTGATCCCACAAGTTCAGGAAGAAATACGTGAACTTCCAAGTATAGCGAAACGGATATACGTCCTCCTCTAATCCTATTTAAAAAGAATACTTTAAAAAAAAATTTTAAAACTTATTAACTACATCTGTAAATTTAATAATTTTTTAATTTTACTCCTATTAAATATACACGCATTAACTTATTTTCTCTTTCAAATATTCAATGAAAATCAAATGAGACAATTTAAAATAAAAATTTAATGAGATCATTTATGAATAGAATAAAAAAAATACCTTTATATTATAAATAAGACTGAAGAGAATATCTTCTCTCTTCCAAACACCATATAATACAAGCTTCCCTTGATTAATGTTGAACCTTCTTGAACTTCATAACTGATCTCACTCACATTCACATTATATAATATGCTCCCTCTGAACCACAATTATTTTAAAAAAAATGAAGTAAAACTTTAATTTCTTAAAAAAAATTTATATTTTTTAATTATATTCTTGTTGAATGCTCTATATAAATGTTTTAATAATAACTTCAATGTATTATTTTTTTTGAAAAAGAGTAATCAATAAAATAGAAATATAATTAAAAAAAACAATTATAAAAATTACTTAATGTCTCATATTTTGACCTAAGCAAGACTTCTAAAAAATATCATATATTATGGTGCAAAGAAAATGATAAACAAGCGCCCCAGATACAATGTTATCAGCCTAATAAAATGCAATGCATAGAATAGTTTCGTAAAGCTGGGTTTAATTATTACTCAGAAAATTAAACATAAATGCATTGGATCTCAAACTCAACCTAATTCAATGAAGAGAATATCACAGCTGTGGGATACTGTTGACTTTGTTAAAAAATAAATATACGAGAGTACAGTGCACAATATGCAAGTCACTCGCAGCTTTAATTTTTTAATTTGATTTCACATTTTAATGTGTTACATGCTACTGCACACATCCTTGATATCTACAAGATTCAAGTTAAAAAGTTATAATAAAAAATATGCTATGGCATGGTATAAAGGAGAGCTAGCACAAAAGGAAACTAGTAAATATGGTAATTGGATCGTCATAGCTACTCATGATAATGATAATAATTGTGCTATATTTACAAATCCTCTCTCCTGAGCTTAGAAGATTGATTGAGATAAATTAAAAAAAAAAAATTTACACTGTAGTCTTGTGTGACCTGATCGTAACCTTACTTCCGAAACAACAACAACAAAAAATTGACCACCAAATGCATGATTAAAAGGAAATTTTAACAGGCATGGCCTGCTATGTCAGACGCCAGTCCCTGAATTTTGATATCGCACTCAATGATTATCTGATTCCCAAGAAAACAAAAATAATCACTTCACAGACTTGCTCCTTGAACATTTGAACGGATCCTTCCCTTCAAGTCAGAGTATGAAAGCCATGGAAAGGCTTCAACAATAATTTCAGATGAGACACTATAAGCAAAGCAATCTATTGCTTCACAAACACTCCAACTATCTTACTCCACTTCAGTCGTATACTATATATAAGTTGCTTTTAACTTGCAGAACCAAGTTAAGTTAGTTGAAGAAAAAAATTGCCTTAATATTGAATCACTTCACATTTTTGCCCATCACCAACAATCAGTTTAAATAATTGAAATGTCTCTCCACAGATGCTGGTGTCTGGCCCAATTGTAAGATTAAATGCTTCTTATTATAATTGCTTCAAGCATCTCTCTCCAACGTGGAGAGAGAATGGCAGAAGAGAGAAACAAGCTAAACAAAGGGAGAGGATGTGCCAACGTGAGATCCAAAATGAGTGACTTACAAATGTTTCGAGTGCAAAATCTTCTATTCAATAATTCGTTCTCATAGTCTACGAAACCGAAACGACTAGAAGCAGAAAATTTCAGTGACTATACTACAATGACAATGGGAATTCAATGCCCGATCAGCAACAGATATGACACAGTAATTGTGGGATTCTGTGCCGCAATGAGAACGTATCCATAATGTCATACGTGTGACAAAAGTCTTACTCCATCGAATGGCAATTAGTCTAAGAAACGGCATGGCATACATAATAAACCATAACCGGACTTCAATTGCGTAAATTATATGAGAAAGAAATTCGGTCATGAAAGGAAAGGGAACCATACAACAAAGTTTACTAGAAACTGAAAAACCAAAACAAAATAAAACTCAAAAATGTTAAAGGGGATATAAAATTGAAAACCACAAAAAACTACAAGTTTCAGAACTTATAGATGAAAATCCTCTCGAATATACCACATATTATAAAACATAATATAAAATAACGTCTGAAAATCGGTCTAATGACAAAGAAAATGTAATTGAGGAACAAGATTCGCTTAATAAGTTCGTTCAGTCACCGCCGGCTTTCTGATAAACATAGGTAAGGCCACACTTACCACAATAGTGCCTATCAAAGTGATTGGCCATAAAGGTGCCAGCTCCGCATTCAGCATTCGGGCACTCCTTCCTGAGCCTCTGAACCTTCCCAGAGTCATCGACCTTGTAAAACTGTAGGACAGCGAGCTTCACCTTCTTCTTCTTGTGCTTGATCTTCTTGGGCTTTGTGTAGGTCTTCTTCTTACGTTTCTTGGCACCACCGCGGAGGCGAAGAACAAGATGTAGGGTGGACTCCTTCTGGATGTTGTAGTCAGCAAGGGTTCGTCCATCCTCGAGTTGCTTGCCAGCGAAGATGAGGCGCTGTTGGTCAGGAGGAATGCCTTCCTTGTCTTGGATCTTGGCCTTCACGTTATCAATTGTATCTGACGACTCAACCTCTAAGGTTATCGTCTTGCCTGTAAGGGTTTTCACAAAGATCTGCATCTTCGGATGCAGATAGGGAGTGATGGTGCCTGTCAGATGTGGGGGATTTAGCTCTCTGGGCTTCGGCGAGGGTTAGCGGAAGGGATGAAGGGGATTGTGATTTTTAGGGCTTTGTTGCGGGGGCGGGGCCGGGGAGTGGGGTGTGGGGATGCGGCCTGTAATTACGAGATTGTCCCTGTGACTGGGGAATATTAGAGAGCTGAATCTAAAACCTATCAGGTTGCGTTTGATTGAAGAAAGAGGAGGATTTTAGTGTTACTTCGTTTGGTTCAAGAGAAAAAAAAAAATAATTATATATAAATAATTTTATTTTTATTTTATTAATATTGAGATATTAAAAAAGTACATTATGCATCTTTTAAACTTATCATGGATGGCATATCAATTAAGGTGTGACAAATTTTATCCCTTCTTTCTTAATTCCCTCCAATTTTTCAAGTCAAAGAGGGAGGGAGGTAAAATCCACCCCTCTCCCCTCCAAATAAACAGCCCCTTAATATCTTACATTTTGTAAAGTGTACTAGTTGTCTTTATATATATATATATATATAATGGGTTTTCCTCTTTGCCCTTGCTATTTTTAAAAATAATATTGGTGCTCGATACTTCACTTCTTTCTTTTTTTTGTATTGCACTTTTTACTATTCATTTAACAGTAAATTTCCAACCCTACCCTTTCAATTCTTCCCAAATCGTCTGAGCTCCCCTTCTCATTTTTCCATGTCTCTAGGATGCCCTTCTTTCTTATGCCATTGAAATTATCAGTAGAGGCTTGATGGGTTAACCAATCTATGCATTTGTTCGCTTCTCTAAAAACATGATCAAAGATAACAGTGCAGTCTCACATAATGGGATATCTAATTTCATTGATAGTAGTAGAAAGTGGGTGATTGGTAAAAAACTCATTATAAATTAATGAGAGAGCTTCAGTAGAATCAAAGTAGACATTAACTTTGTTAAGCTTTTTAGCCCAACAGATGTCAAGTCATTCCAAAATACCCATAAATTCAATTGCTGTATTCGAATGATATTCAAGACATTTGGAGAAGCCTTTAATCCAATTGCCTTGTTTGTTCTGGATGAGATCACCACAAGAGGCTGCATTAAGGGAGTTGACTAAGCCATCTATATCTAACCTAACCCATCATTCCTTAGGGGGATTCATTTAGCTTTAGTTATATCGTTGTTTTAAGTCAAAAAGTCACTTTTATATTAGAGGTATTGATCCCTAATATCCTAACTACCGGTGAAAACAATGTCTCTATCATGATTGTCTTCTTTGGAATAGACATTTTTGCATCTTTCTTTCCAGATGTTCTAACACACATGGTCAAAGAGTCTCTGCCAAGAAATCTTCCTTGCCCAAGCATTGTCTACATCATTATCGACATTCCAAATTAACCAATCTTGTAAATGAAGAGAAAAGAATGTGTTAATTTTAAATTGTTCGAATAATTTTAACTAAACCTCTTTTGATTTCTTGCAATCTCTCGAAGTATATATAGTTAAATCCAAAGAGTTGCAACCAAAAAGGCATGTTCTGTGACAAGGATTGCCCCCATTAGAGTAAGTGAATTTAGGTTGAATACGATCTCAAGCAGCTTTCTAGGGAAACCTTTTCCTCCTTTCATGCCCATGCTACTTCTTCCTTCAATTATTTTAAAAAAATAATATTACTCAAAATAAATTGAGGAGGCATATGTACAAAAGTTCAGAAATGAAACCCTTAACGTGTTTCTATAATTAGAATAAGCATAATTTTTTATTATTTTCATAATTTCATCATTTAACATAAAAAAAATTAATGATGCCCTTACCTATTACTTCTTATGTTTTATGCTCTTATGATACATTTTTTTAGTCTTTTTATTATTGTTAAATAATAATGTAGCCCTAAACTATAGATTTAGAAGCATTTGGGACTTTAAACTTATTTTTGATGTAATGCTCTCCTTTAACTTTTTAAAATACTGCAATCTAATCCCTACTATTAATAAAAATTAAATCTAACCATTAGTTAATAAAAAGACATAAAGTGACCAAAATATTATACTAAGGAATCTAAAAATTATAAACAATAACCCAAAAATCACATACAATAATTGATAAATTTTTTGGTCTCTTTTGTAATTTCTAGAGTTATTTCCTATCATTTTTTAGTTAATTAATGATTAAAGTTAACCTTTGTTAATGGTAAAAGCTAGATTGTACTGTTTTTAAAATTTGAATAGGAATATCATACCAAAAATTAGTTTTAGATGTAAGGTTGCCATTATTATTCAATGCTTAACTACATACTCTAAAGGTAATCATGGATTTAACCTAAAAGAATTACCCTTATATTAGAAAACCTCTACGGTTATTCAAAAGTCAAAATATTTAGAAATGAGATCCAAGGTTTTCAAGCTTTTAAAACATAATAATTAAACTTTATAAGTCAAAGTTAGAGTAGAAATATTCATGGAAGCATAGAATACCGATTAGTTTTAAAGCATTTGCATTTAAGTTGAAAAACAATCCTTCAATATAAAAACAGGGGGATGTGTCGTGGCTTGTGGCATACGCATCATGGCTTGCTTCTCTCTATACCATGCGCTGCAACACATTACAGAGAATTGATAGAACTGTTGATGTCATTTGACAGCAATAAGGGAAAACTTCCAACAAGCCTTGAATTTCCGTCCGACATCTGATTAAAGTAATTTAGGTGACAATAAGCTCTTTCAAAGCTCTAGTTAATGGTATTAGTTTCAATCACAATTCATTTATCAATCAAAAGTTAGAAATCCACTTGCAAACTCACTCCTCTTCACGCATAAATTACAATTAAGACATCCAAAATCATAATCAAGTGCTGGAAGCTCACAACTATCCCTCGACCAGACTCAATATAACTTATACAAAATGTAACATCTTAGAGAATTTAACCCCCTAATTAGTTGAATAAATGCAGTTAATTGAGTAAATTAATATGGTGCATGGTTATAAAAAACTAACAGTTGTTATGGGTTGTGATTTTAACCCTAGGATTAAGTCTAGAGAAAGTCTGGCCACTTGGATATTAAAAAGTGAAAAAAAACAAAGAGAAAAGGCTTTGTGCCATATGCCTTAGCGCATGCACAAGATGCCATGGCACACAGGCCAATCAAAGCATAAACATCTCTCTCTGTATCACATGCCACGACACACGGTAGCATTTTTGCATAAATAAAGTTGTGAAACTAAAGGGAAATAGAGGTAAAGCAAAAGGGAGAACTAAGAAGCTCATGGAAGCCTCTGTTAGGGCTTGAAGGATTTAAGTATTAGGAGTACTTTGGAGCTTCTAAATAATAGAGGTAGGTTTTTTAAGCTTAAATCTCTCTTCCTCTTCTATTTTTCTTGAATATAAAAGTTAGGGTTTAGTTGAGAAAGTTAATTTTTGGTTCATAGAGGTTATGAATTTAAACCTTTTGACTTAAATAAAGTTAATAGGAGTTGTTTAGGTTATTTAAACCTATTATTTATGACTCTATGCATTTGTGGTTGTTAAAAGTCAAAAATATTTGAAATTCCACCATTAATGAGGTAGATGGAGTAATGTGATTCCATTAATAATTGTTTAGGAGTTCAATGAAGTTAACGAAGTTAAAGAAAGCTAATAAACCTTGTGGATACCTTTATATATAATGATATTGAATCGAGAAAGTATTAAAGTGTAGAGATAGATATTGATAATTATTTAAAAAGGGACATTGATGACTTATATTGTAATTAAATGTAGTATGAACATATTTGGTAGTATTCAAGCATTGTGAAGGCTTTAGAAGTGGTAAATTGAGGGGTAAACTTTTGACTTTTCAAAAATTTAAGGTAACCAGGAGAATTCTTTATGTGCTTTTATATATTAATTGAAGCATGTAAAATTATTTGAAATATGAGTATGGCATAAAATATTTAAAAATCAAATATTATGCTTTTTGTGGAGTTAAATGATTTTGTTAGTGTGAAGTTCAATAAAATAGTATTTAGGGAGTTCAATGATGTAATTTATATAGAGTTTAATGATGTATAAAATAGGGAGTTCAATGATTATTTGTTATGTGTTTGTGTATTAACCGCATGTGGCATGAGTTCTATGATAACGTTAAGCACACTGTTAATTGAGTATTTTACATACTGTGTAATATTGCATTTTTATGCATTGTATGCTCATGAGAGGCAGGAGTTCATCTAAGTAGAAGAGTAGAGAATTAAAATTCACATAGTAAGGCTACTATTAGAACTTAATGGTTTGCCTGGATTTGTTTATACTTATCGTCCCACTTGTTTAACGATGGACTGTCTTACTTGTTCTATGAGGACTCAAACCTAACTAATATTTACACTTGTTCGATGATGAGCTAGTTTAAAGAGAATGACATCTCATAGTGTGAGATTTGAGAAAAACTGTAACCCACAAGTTAGGCAATATTGATCGGGTAGCCCCTCACACATGAATGGCTAGGTAGTCTTATTTCATAGATGTTCCCAATGTGTTATAGCCCACGGTTTCATGTCAGAGTCATAAAGAAGTTATAAGGGAGGTACAATCATGCATATTGTGATAAAAAGGATACCTGGTTATCTATATTGCGTCCTTTAAGATAAAATAATGTGATTAAACTTGTATTATTATTATGAACATTAATTTTCATGGTATTATTTCATCAATTTATGTCATTAATAATGAAAAATACAAATATGAGCTTGAATATGTTAATTTGATTTGAGTATGATAATGTTTTGCCACTTTCTTTTAAATTAATTAACGTGCATCAGTATAAGTTAGATAAATCTTAGTTACAGAGTGCTTGTACTCATCCCTTTCTTTTCAATATTATAGGAGCTAGTTCAGTGGATCAGGATTAAGGCATAGCATTACTATCCTACCAGTAGGCCGCACTTCCATTTTGATTATTATGTGTATAAATTGCATGATATTGCGAACTAAGAAAATACATGCTTTTGGTTTACTCGTACAATGAGAATGTTGAATCAAATTATGTATTTTAAGCCCTAGGATGTATATATATTAATTGTGAGTTTGGAAAGAGCCAAAGTATTAGTGCAAGTAAGGAGTGAGAGGAATGTGATTGTTATTAAATAACTATG